TCGATATTATGTGTATATTAGACATCGTTTAGATAGCTATATCTCTATATTAAGCGTTTGCGTTAATTTCGATAGGCGACTTCTACAGTTAAAAATGGTAAAGAAAGTGCAGATGATAACCATTAAATTCAATAATTTAGACCTTTCTCTAATCTAAAATAAAAATTTCCAACTTGGTATTATTGGGATATTCAGTGTATACAGACAGTAATCATGGAATGCACAAAATTGCATCTTCGACAACCATTACTTTTGATATTTGATTTAAAGAAATCTGACTCCGAAGCCCACCAAACACATTAAGAAGCTTATGATGATGCTTGCTACTCCGGCGTATCTCAATTGTTGGCTTTGATTTCGGCGGCTTAAAAGTGTTAAATTTGATGTTAATGGCAAAAAATGGCTGGGAAGACCGAAAATGCTCAAAAACAGCGGATTGGAAGACTTATGGAATGAAAACCAAACTCAAACTCTCAATGAACATTCGAGCAACTTAGTAGTTGATCAACTGTTCCCAAATCAACTGTTGCTAGATGTTTGCATGCGATGCGAAGAATCCAAAAGCAGGGGAAATGACTGTCATGCGAGTTGAGTGAAAGCGCCATTCCGAACCATTTCAGCTTCATTGGTTGCCAGGCAAAAGAAGAAGAGTTTTCTGAGGTGAATTGCGGGTGGCGACGAAAATTGGCTGCACTACGACAATCTCAAGGACAAAAAGTCTTGGGTTAGTCCAAGACAGCCACCCACATCCACTCCGAAACGGAATATTCATTGCCATAAAGCTTTGCTGTGCATGTGATGGGATCAGCAAGGCGTAATGTATTACGAGATGTTAAAATCGGATGACACTGTTACTACAGATGTCCACCGAGGTCAGTTAATCAAACTGAACAATGCACTGCTTGAAGAAATACAAGCAACAACGGTCAACAAATGCAAAGTCATCCTACTGCATGACAAAGCTCGGCAACAGGCTGGAAGAGTTGTCAAGAGTACACTGTTGCAACTCGGATGGGAAGTTCTGCCAGTGTACTAACCAGTTATGGCGCCAGCTGATTACCACTTGTTTAGATCAACGCAGCACCGCTTAACTGAAACGCGGTGCCATAATGTTGTAGAAGTGCGAAAATGGGTCGACGATTGGATCGCTACCAAATCAATATCGTTCTTCCAATGCAGTATGGTCAGGTTATCAAACGAATGGGAAAGTATTGTAGAAAATATGAAAAATATATTGATTAACATACATTCAATCTTTCTCTCAATAAATGTGTTTTTCAAGCGAAAACTTAATCAAAATGAATGCAAGCGTAGAAGAAAAACTGAACTCGGATACTGTACAATATCGGATGGGCATGGACGCACTCGTAGAATATATGTCGAAATTTTTATTGTTGCATCGGTTCTTGCTTATGGTTAATAAGCATAAAAAACTTTTCTGTTTTCGAAAGCAAAGGTGTTCTGAACCTTTGTTATGCTATGCTTAAGGGTGTCCTTTGACCGATTTGGTCTATTTCTAAAACCACCAAAACCTACAACAACTTTTCCCAAAGGGGAAGTCCCACTATTTTTTTGAACAAGGAGAACGATTACGACGGCAGAAAGATTATCTCAACCAATGGCTTTTTCAAAAAAAAAAAAAAATAGGCAACGCAACCACCTAATATTAAGTAGTCCAGAAATTTTTTGCGGTATTTCAGCATGAAATAACCAACATATTTTTTTCATGTGTGTTTCGAGTGAATTAGGTTTTCCTGCAATGTCAGGAATCGTTGTGTGTCGACCAGCTTCAAACATAACCTTAAGGTCGCCATCAGTGGTATTTGGCCTACCCGAACTCGTTAAAGCTTTCCAGAACGAAATATCGTAAACCAAAATATGATATTTTTTACGATGAGCTTAATTTTTTAACAAGAACGCTGATGCCAATCAACAAACGCTGAAGAAAACAGAGAGAGAGAGAGAGATGACTTAAAAACTCGTTTCCTATTTAAAACTTTGGCCAAAAATTGATTTTACGAAATATATTAAAATATCTTGAATCAACTCCTCCCTCCTAGCTTACAAAATACTAATTTTTGAAAATTTGGTTGTGTCGATGTTTGTCATCCGAGATAAGACACTTTGTCATACTTGATTAGCCGTGTAACCATATTTTCGAGGATAACATCTGAAAATAGGCGTAGAGAATCCCGTTAATTATATATACATTTGATCAGCTTGAATTTTCTTGAAGGCGATCGATCATCAATTCAAGTAATTTTCACATGCAACTAATTTTCATGTCTTTCTTGAGAGTTCAATTGCCATTGTTTGTTTGTGTATTATATTGATTCTGATATATGAAAAAGCCATATAAATATAAGCACTTCAAACGGATATCTCATGGTGATTAGTATCCCACATTCAAGCTACATTTTCATATAAATTGGATCATGCTATAGAATTTACTTTTAATTATGCTAAATTTCTTTCTATAAAAGAAAACATCCAATAAAATGACCCACTTTCCGTGCAATGCACCATTTTTCTGCGCATCTTTCATCATCATTTCATCATTCATTATCTTTTGTTTATATATAAAATTTATTTATTTATTTATTTAATTTTTTTTTTTTTTTTTTTTTTTATTCAAATGGAATATCCGCGCTCTATGCACCAACATAAACGAATGATGATGATATGAGAAGAGTGATAATAAAAAATGCACAGAGCTGTCATGCACTTTTCACGAATATTTGTAAATCTGGCATAGCTTCCGGAACATTATTAAATGTCCAACTGAACAATATCGTTGATTCGAAAAAAATTAAACCTATTTCAATATTTTGGTATTATTAGATGCTTGCAAAAATTATGATCCGCAACTTCGACGCGGTAAAAATGATACAGAAATGCGAAGTACAAGTATATGCAGTGAATGGTTTCGATCTTCCTCTACATAAAATCACACTTTTCCATTTGATATTGATATTGATTGATTCATCAATCAATCAATCATCAGCGTTGAAAAATTCTTCTTCTTCCAAATTCATTACTTGTGTTGTTTTTATTTGATGAAATCTGGTGTCGAAGGCCACGTTCAGAACGCGTTCAGAGGCTTACGGTGACGCTGCTCCATCATATCCCAATTGGCGGTCTTGAGTTGAACGGTTTAAGAGTGGCGACACGAATTGACTGAAAATACCATTTTTGACACGGTTATGAAGTTATATTAAAAATTTAAGTAGCATAGGCGGCACAAATCAACAATTTTTCCCAAGGAAACTTCATAAATATATGATAGACCGTTGGAATGTTCATTGATCAAAGATTCACTTGATATTAGTTTCATTTGTTCGCAGCACTTGATTTGGTCGCAGTGGTTAAGTAAACTTTCACTATTTCAGTTTTCTATTTGACATAGTAAAAAAAAAAATTTTAATCAATTAATATAAAGTCGTATTTGTCTTATAATGTTAAAAAAAAAAAAAAAAAATGTTCAGAAAAAGTTCTACTTTAAGTAAATTTTGATTTAAATCTCTCCGAGACTTCATTTAACTGAGGCCAGTCAACTGTTTCGGTTTGTGTCTTTGCTAGTTCAATTTACATATAACTTCACACTCCTATTATTGGCGACGGGTTGCAAGTGTTTTCCAGGAAACTACTTTTGCAGCTCCAGTGAGAAGTTTTGCCGTCTTCTGATCATCATTTGTTCAGATCGGTGCAGCATGGTTTGGCTGACTGGCACTGGTCCGCAAAGTTGAAGAAGTGCGAAAAATAGTTGGTGGGTGGATTGCTGCCAAACCAATACAAATTCTCTCCACGTAATATCGCCAAGTTGCCAAGAATATAATAAAATGTTGTAGAAAAAAGTGACGGAAACTATTTTGATTGACATATATTGGTACCAATCTTCGACAAAAAATTCTTGCAAGCACCTAATAATTATAGGAGACCGTCGTGTAAGTGACATTATACTGTCAACTGACAGTAAAATTTTATGTAAATTTTAATTTTAAAACAATAAGACTTTAAGAACATAAAAGTTTGTCTAAAAATTCCTGAGCTATAAGATATATATTTTCAATTGACAATATATATCTCGTTAATTATCAACGAGAAAATATTACGAGCTTTTATATGCATTATTCAAATATAACGAGCAAAGCGACAAATCAAGTTTTTTTAACAGAGTTGTGTTAAGCCGTTAACAGAGTTCGGTGAAACGAAGTCTCGGTGGGATTTATATGTCAAATTATAGTTGGAATAAAACTTTTCAAGAATTGTCTTTACAAAATATTATGAGCAAATCAAGTCTTATATTATAGTCAGTTTTGCTCGGAGAATTTTTTTATGCGACTTTGAAAATACCTGGTACTTAATATAGGCTAATATATAAGCAATGTTTGAAAGGTCACTGTGGGCAAACTATATCCTGTGAAAAAATGAAACTAGTATAGCGTGAATATAACCTACGCATCATTGAAAAGTCTACGAATAGAGGGCTCAGGTCGTACAAGGCATAATTTGCCCACAGTGGGTAAGCAAACTGTTGCTTTGTCAATCTCATTTATGGCATAGAGTAAAAGTTTGTTCCTTTCAAATATTAATTAATTTACGTAAAAATTTGCTTTGTTTGTAATATTTTATAAAAAAAATTCTCGAAAAGTTCCATTTTAACTATATTTTGACTTAAATCCCTCCGAGATAGAATTCTGTTAATGGTTAACCGAGGTTAACTGAGTGTAAAAAAACATTTGGTTGTTGTCTTTGCTAGTTGTATTTAAATATAATTTTACAGTCTTGTTATTGATTTAACTC